AATTAGATTTCGCCTCTGCCAGCAATCCTTGGCCGGATTGTGACATGGCACCTCAGCTGCCAGGTTTGACCGGCTGTTTTCCAACGTTCTTATCTTGCTTTTGGCTGAGATTTCCCTCATTTCTTTCCTTGGCTTGGCCGAACCTTTTGAGTGGAAGAACAAGAGTGGAAAACTCCTTTTTTTTTTTGATTTCCTTCACCAAAACTTGAAATTTCACCTCTAGTTTTGCAATCTATTCCACACAAGTGCTCACTCAGGAGGTTTAAAGCTATTGGTGTAGTTGTTTTGGAGGAGGAAGCACTATGCTACCAATTTTCTTGAGATTTGAAGGTATCTTGCTAAGAATTTCTTATCTACTTCAATTGATTGTTAAATGGTGGATTAGAGATGTTATATATACTATTTTGTGGAAGGTTTCATGGATTGTAGTAGAGTTTTGATAAATTTCATAGTTATCGGTGTTTTTTTTTTATATGGTGAATTATGGGTGGTCATGGAATGATAGTTGGAGATAGTGTAAAATAGAGCTTTTGTGTGTTAATTGTGGTTTATTGTGGAAATTCCAGCTTGTGTAGATTAATTTCAGTTTTAGGGTTTTGAATTGGGGCTTGATTATGGTTGGTTTTTGGAACTCTCTTTTTGGCCATCTATGAAGGGCATTTTGGGCTTAATTAGGAGTGTTATATGACCTATGATTTGTATGTGTAATTGTGATTGAATTGAGATGTGATTGGTAATGTATTGTAGGATGGAAAATAAGGAAATTACGGGGAAGTGCTGTCCAATCTTTGAGAGCATTTGATTGCTTTGAATGAGTGGACTCTTGGTAGAAATGAAAGGCTTGGACTTGAACAAGGTAATGTCTGTGATAGATGGATCAAGAGCTGTGGTTGGTGAGTGATTCCATAACTATTTGTAAAGTTACTTTTTCGAACTATTTCTTGCATTGCATACTCGATTGAATATCATGAGTGCTTGCATGTGTATCATGAAATGGTTTGGCTCCAATGAGTTCTTGGGAAGTATTGTGCTCAGAACAAACATCTCCACCACTGTTTATTTGGAGCACAAATGGCTCTCTTTTACTGTTTGATTGTTAATTGATCAATTTGAGCATCGGATGTTTAAGTACAATGATTTCACTGGCTCACAAGAGCAATAAACGTACATTTGATTACTGATTCATGACATCATTGAAATGAACTATTGTGAAACTGGTTGGATTACTGATTTTAATGGTCACTCGCTGAGTTTCTTGCTCACCCCAAAATATTTTTCCCCTCCACAGGGCTCGAGGCAGAAGAAAGTGCTTGTAGTCTTTTTGGTTTAACTAGATGAATTATCTCCTGTACAGTTTGAATTTGGACTCCTCTTGTGTAACAATTGGGATTGTATGAATGTTTGGAATTGAAACGAGTGTATGTGTACGTTCCACGCTTGTGATATGTAAATTCATGGAGGCATTGATGTATTATTTGAGATGTACCTTGTAAGATTTGAGTGTTGTAGATGTACCGTGTAAGTTTTCGATTCACTTGTGGTATATAACTCTTGGAGTTTTGAAGATGTAATATTTGAGATGTGCATTGTATTATATTTGAGGACTGTAGTGAGTCCCGGCGAGAGTTGGGCAGGCGGTCCGCCGAACCCTTCGGTTCGCCTTAAGGGGAGGTGGGGCCGTCACACTGTCGAATTAGCTTCGCAAGAGCGAACTGTATCCTTATGTATGAAAGCGTGGATTGGCTCATTGATTTGTTACTTGAAATGTTAATGCTTACTCTTGTGAACTTTTACTTCCTTTACTTTAAGATTTTGAATTATATAGAACTGCCAATTTGCTACTTGGTTTGCATGTCGTCTTAGAACCTCACTGGGCAATAACTCACCCCGTTAGTTTGTTTTCCTTACAGGGGGCAAAAACGAGGGCGTGTGAATTGGAGAAGACTGGAATTTTGTCTAGGTCTCTCGTCTTTTGTTTTAGTACTGGGTGTTTTTCTAATATTAGTGAATTAACTTGAGTTTGAACTTCTTGATCTATTAGGGATATGTATTAAAATTAAATGATGATGTATATACATGAATGTATATATTGCTTTTGCTATTGTGTTTCTTGCTATGGTAATGGATCTTATGGTGAGACCTGGCGAGAGTTGGGCTGGCGGTCCGCCAAAATCTTGGGTACGCTCTAGGAGGAGGTGGGGTCGTCACAATTCTTATATATCTAACAGTTTTCCAATGACACCCTGAGAATATTATAGAATTGTATCTATTGGAGTAATATTCGAGCAAAGCCTTGGAATCTTATACTAGCCTATCTAATTTTTCTATTTCATCTACCAACTGTTCACAGTATAAACAATTACTCATATTAATTTGTATCAGCATAATTTTCATTATCTATTGATAATCTTTCATTATTTATCCAATTTATTTCAAAATCTTTTTCATTATTTCAAAGTCATAGGAGCTCTAATACCACTGGGGGTACCAGGGCTATATATATTTGAATGTAACTATTTTTTCAATCTTCTATGGTGGAGCGGTACAGGCAGGACAAGTATCTTTATTATGTTATCTGAATTGGCAAAATCTTTTTGGTGCATTTTCGCTAGATATAATTTGTCCTTTTTCAATCATTTTGATCTTCATTTGAGGAATCTTTTAGTAGCTGGTGGAGTTGCATTTGTTGGGGCTATCATAACTGATCCCATCTCCAGAATAAGTGCAGTTTCCTTTTTTCATGACGATTTCCATTGTGGTGATGGTAGCTCTCATTCCAATGGCTTGCCTATGATGAATGTCTTTTTCTGAGAATCTCTAGAATGATTTTATATGTGTGTGTATATGTGCATATATATATATACGTGTGTATATATATAGATGCATATATGTGCGTGTGTGTGTGCATATATGTGCATATATATATACATGTGTGTACGTATATATATGTACATATATATACATACACACATACACACACGTCTATATATCTGTACATATGTATGTATGCATATGTATATGTGTAACAGCCCCACCTCCCCCTAAGGCGAACCAGAGGGTTCGGCGGACCGCCTGTCCAACTCTCGCCGGGACTACTAAGTCGACACACACGTAAACCTTACCAAACATGCAAAAGAACTTCGAGAAAATGAACTGTCGGAAACTGAATTAGTTAAACTAAACGATGCAATAGAACTTTGATACGACGCTCCAACGAAAACCAAAACGAGAATGAAAGAGCCGCGGCCACGTCACAATCCGGCCAATATTTGGCTGGATTGTCGGGAAAAAATGAAAATTTTCATTTTAGTCACTGTGAAAAATTTCATTTTAGTCACTGCCCTGAATCCGGCCGCCAATCCGGCCGAAAATCCGGCCAAATATTGGCCAGATTGTGACGTGGCTGCGGCTCTTTCGTTCTCGTTTTGGTTTTCGTTGGAGCGTCGTATCAAAGTTCTATTGCATCGTTTAGTTTAACAAATTCAGTTTCCGACAATTCATTTTCTCGAAGTTCTTTTGCATGTTTGGTAAGGTTTACGTGTGTGTCGGCTTAGTAGTCCTGGCGAGAGTTGGGCAGGCGGTCCGCTAAACCCTCTGGTTCGCCTTAAAGGGAGGTGGGGTTGTCACAATATGTGCATATATGTGTGTGTGCTTGTGTGTGTGTATCTATGTTTATATATGCATATATGTGTGTGTATATATATACAAACATATATATACACATACATACCATATATATACATATGTATGTGTGTGTGTGTATGCGCACGCGTGCATGTGTTATCAATAAACCAAACCATAGCGACCCGCTTATTTGATTCAAAAGCCATATTTAATGGCAAATAAAATCTTACAAGCTCATATAGTTATGTATACAAAAAATACATAAATGAGATAGAGTATAGAGCAGTCAAAATAGAGGAAATCTTAGATCTAATAGTTGTGAGAATTGGGACATCCTATTAATCATATATAGACATTAAATGTAGGAAGAAGATTAGATATAAAGAAAAAGAATAATAAACCACAATCAGAATGCCATTAAAGTGAAAGGCAAAATAAAACTTAGCAGTAATTGAAAATAAGCATCTAGAAATAGATCAATCAAAATAGTTGAGGAAGTTTTGGTCTAATGGTTAAGGTTGAGACCCCAGGACTTCGATATCCTAGGTTTAAATCTCTTTTCTTTCTCCCCATTTCTTAAACTCACCCTTGCCCTATTAAAAAAATTAGTGTTTTAACTTGAAAAATCTCCCAAAAAAAAAAACATGATGGGAGCAAAAAATATTCAAACTAGAGAAAAGACAACCACTCATGGCTACTTTTATAGTATTTAGTTGAGCACCTTAAGAATTACCTAATAAGTTGCTCAATTACCAACTAAAACTTGCCAACTAGATGATTAATGGGTCTAGTTGACAAAGTGATGCCATGTGAAAATTTAAATTTATTTAACCTACTTTTTCCTTTTTACAAACTTTCCTCATCATATCTATCAAAAAGATAAAAACACAAGTGGTCTAATTCCATATTGAGCCACATGGTAGCACTAGAAGGGAGTTTATGGGAAAATATGTCAGATTGCTAGTAATGCCCCTCTGTCTTCTACTTCGATTGTGAATAGTTGAATATTATTTAGGGTATTTTGATCTTTAATGATGAGAATACTACTTTGCTGCTTCACTTTTAACTGGTAGTCTGAATAGTTCCTAATTATTGAGGGGTATTTTTGTTGTTCGGACAAACAATTAGTCAAGAAACCTTTCGTCTCTCTTTTCTCTCTATAACAAGGAATAGAGAAACAAATGGGAAAAGAAATAGGAGGCAGAGCCTTCTTTCTTTGGCTTTAGAATCAAGAAAAATAACCTTAATTTTCATATCTATATACAACAAATCTTAACTACTTTGTAATTGGACACATGAATTGTATAAGACTGTTTTTCTCTCTCGGCTGTGTTTTTCTCTCGGCTGCTATTTTGGGAAGGTTAGGGTTCCAGCAAATGGCTGGCCTCCAGCCGCCAGGAGGGGGGCTTGGCCGTTCCTTTGCTGCCGTGCTTCAGCAACAGCCGACGCCATCCCCTTGCAAGGTTAAGCCCGCTGCCCAGTTCAAAGGTGAACCGGCTGTCATGTTCTCGGAGGAAGACATTGCAAAGTTGGCGGCTCCCTTCCAGTTTGCTGTCGTGGGGAAGTTCTCCCATGGACGGCCGAACCTAGACGCAATTCGAAAATCTTTCACAACTATCGGTTTCACATCCAGTTTCACCGTAGGCCTTCTAAACCAGCGACATATCCTGATCCGTTTCTGTTTGGAGGAGGATTACTTGCGCTGTTGGACGAAGGGGTGGTGGAGTATTGCTGACTTCCCCATGCGTACCTTCAAGTGGACACCAGAATTTAAGGTTACCAGCGAATCCACTCATGCGCCTGTCTGGGTTGCTCTGGAACATCTGCCCATCCATTTCTTTGACAAAGTATCGCTGTTTTCAATTGTTGCTGCCATTGGCAGTCCTTTGCAAGTTGATGCCGCGACTGCTAATTTGGTTCGTCCCAGTGTTGCACGTATCTGCATCGATCTGGACATCTCCCGGGACTTGCCGAGTCGCATCTGGATTGGGACGGGCAGCAATGGGTTTTAGCAGCGGGTAGTGTATGAAAACTTGCCCGCATACTGCTCGCTTTGCAGCCGCCAGGGTCACTGCAATACAGACTGTCGACAGAGCAGGCGTGGGAATAGGGGCAGGCCAGTCGGTGGAGGGGATGCCAGGGCTATGGAGGCACAGGCTCTGGAGGGGAGGAGCGCCGCTGCTGCCCAGCCCAGGGAGGCAGTTTTGCAACCAGCGCCCTTGCCTGGCCTCTTGCTGTCCGCAGATGCTGCGCCTGTTGGGGCTGCCATGCCTGCCTTGCTTATCCAGGAGGGGGTCGTCACGGAGAACCCTTCAGACATGGGACAGAGCAGGCGTGGGAATAGGGGCAGACCAGTCGAAGGAGGGGATGCCAGGGCTATGGAGGCACGGGCTCTGGAGGGGAGGAGCGCCGCTGCTACCCAGTCCAGGGAGGCACCAGCACCCTTGCCTGGTCTCTTGCTAACCGCAGATGCTGCGTCTGTTGGGGCTGCCATGCCTGCCTTGCATATCCAGGAGGGGGTCGTTGTCACGGAGAACCCTTCAGCCTTGGGGAAAATTTGCGATGATGCACAGCTCCATTTAGGCGAGCAAGAAAAGGTTCCCTCCCAAGGCTCTCTCTCGGATGGAGAGGATCAGCCGGGAAGGATCGCACCAGACAAGGCTGCGCTGGTAGCCTCCTTCCAGCAGTTCAGTTTGGCTTTGGGGTCGCGATTACCCACGCAAGTTGCAGTTTGCGACGAGTCTGGCTTCACCATGGTGCTCCCGCAGAAGTCAAGGAAACGAAGGGTGTACAATGCTATTCCCCGGCAGATTCTTACGCGACAAGCTTCTAAAGCCATCGAGGTACCCCATCTTTCTTTTCCCAATGCATAATCTCCTCATTTGGAACATTAGAGGAGCGACGAATAAATCTTCTGTTCGTCGTCTGCGGGCTTTGCTCCGACTACATCACATTGCTGTTTTAGTTCTCTTAGAACCTATGGCAGATGCATGCAACGTCGAAACCTTGCGTGTGAAGCATTCTTTTTGATTTTGGGTTTTTTGGCGTTTCGGCTTTCATTTTCATGTGCTCTGCAATTCGGAACAATTCCTCCATGTTATGGTCGGCCACGATTCTTGGACTGACACTGTTAATGCATCATTTGTTTATGCCAAGTGTACCAGGGCCGAAAGGCGTATCTTATGGTCTGAGTTGAGCTCCCTCGCTGGGTCCATCTCCCGGCCTTGGCTGGTAGGGGGGATTTCAACGTTATCAGTACCCTGGCAGAGTATGCGGGCCGATCGACCCAGGACCTTGGGGCGATTTCTGATTTTAATGGTGCAATTTCAGCCTGCCATCTCCAGGAGCTCCCCTTCTCTGGAAGCACTTACACATGGTCAGGTGTTAGAGCCGGTGCTAGGATCTGGAAGCGGCTGGATAGGGTGCTTGTCAATCAGCACTGGCTCGATTTCTTGCCGAATACCTCTGTCCAACATCTCAATCGTGCCACCTCTGATCACTCGCCCTTGTTAGTGAGTCTGCGGCCTGCCGCGCCTAGCTTTCCGAAGTCGTTCAAATTCCAGTCGTTTTGGGTGTCAAGCCCTGGGCTCTTGCCGCTGGTGCAAAGCAATTGGGATTTAGCCACGCAGGGGTATGGTATGTACCGCTTGGCTTTCAAGCTAAAGCGGTTGAAAACCTGCTTAAGGCAATGGAGTAGAGAGCATTTCGGGGACATATTCCAAGCTGTCCGGCAGCACGAGGTTGAGGTTCAGCAAAAGGAGGTTATATACGAAGCTAACCAAACAGAAGAGACGAGGGCTGAACTTCACCGCGCACAAGGCCGTCTGCTACACAGCTTACGTATTCAAGAGGACTACTGGCGACAGAAGGCGCGCCTACGCTGGGTGACTGACGGGGATTCAAACACACGATACTTCCATGCTTTTGTTAGGGAAAAGCGGTCGAAACTTGCCATACACCGCATTCAAGATGCGGATGGGACATGGCTTGAAGGTGACGACAGAGTTGGAGAGGAGGCAGTTAGGTTCTTCCAACAGCTTCTCACAGCGGAGGAGATCAGGGATGTTGAGGATCTATTGGCCCATATACCGGAGCTTGTGTCGGCGGCTCAGAATGGGGAATTAATGAGAGAAGTCACGATGGAAGAGGTAAAAGGGGTCGTGTTTGACCTGGATAAGGATAGCGCCCCGGGTGTGGATGGCTACACAGGCGTTTTTTTCCGCCATTTCTGGGACACTGTGGCGCTTGATGTTTTGGCTGCGACGAGAGACTTTCTGGCTGGGACCCCGATCCCAAAGGGTATTGCTAGTACCCTCATTGTGCTGATCCCGAAGAGGCCAAATCCAACTACGTTTGCAGATTTTCGTCCCATTAGCCTATGCACTTTCGTTAACAAGGTTTTTACGAAAGTGCTTGCTAATAGATTGCGGGCTTTTCTCCCAGGCTTTATTTCTCCCGAGCAATCTGCCTTTTGTCCAGGCCGCGATATCGCTGAAAATGTCCTCTTGGCCCAGGAAATGATTGCATCCATCAACAAGAAAACTCTGGGACACAATTACATTTTCAAATTGGACATGATGAAAGCCTTTGATAGAGTATCCTGGGAGTTTTTGCACCGGCTCCTTCAGAAGTTTGGGTTTGGGTATAGGTTCATCCTGCTCATTTTGAACAACCTCTCTTAGAGTTGGTTTTCTGTGATGGTGAATGGCAGAGCTAGGGGCTTTTTCCAGGCGACACGGGGTATCAGGCAAGGAGATCCTCTGTCCCCCCTCCTTTTCATTCTCGCCGCCGAAGCCCTTAGTAGGGGTTTGAATGCGCAAGTAGCGGATGGCAGGGTGGCCCCTTACTCATTGCCCAGAGGCTGTGCTGGGGTCACACACTTATCTTTTGCTGACGATATTGTGATTTTTGCTCGCGGGGACAGGCGGTCTGTGGACAGCCTGGTCCGATTTTTATCGCTCTATCAGTCTGGTTCGGGCCAACGAGTTAATACCCACAAGAGTTTTTTCATAGCTTCCCGTCGGTGTGGCTCGGGCCAAATACGCCGAATTCAGCAGCTAACGGGCTTCAGACATAGCTCCTTCCCTTTCCACTATTTGGGGTGTAATCTTTATGTTGGGCGCCACAAAAAAGAATACTTCCAGTATCTGATTGACAAGTTTGTTGCTAAGTTGGCTGGCTGGAAGAAAAAGCTGCTCTCACAGGGCGGTCGTCTCATCCTCATTAAGCATGTCCTTTCTGCCATCCCTTTGCACGTTCTGGCAGTAATGGATCCCCCCAAAGGAGTGCTAAGGGATCTTGAGCGCTTAATGGCGAACTTTCTCTGGGGATTCACGGAATTTGGTCCAAAGCATCATTGGTGCTCTTGGCGGAACCTATGTTATCCGGTGGAGGAGAATGGTCTTGGAATCCGATCGTTTGAAGACACTCAGGGGGCGTTCAGCTGCAAATTATGGTGGGGGTACAGCAACTCGTCCTCCTTATGGGCAACTTTTATGAGATCTTGCTATGGTGTAGGCAACGGGCCTGCACACAGGAGTTCCAGGATCTGGGGGCGGATGCTTGCTGTTCGGGATACGGTAGATCAGTTCACGCAAGCTGTAGAATTGGAGGACGGTGTTCAGCGGGCCTGGGTCCTTACACCCTCTGGCGATTTCACTATCTCCTCGGCATGGGATGCTATCCGGCCTATGCAGGAGTGCCTCTGGACCAGGAAGTGCGTTTGGGGTAGCCGTGTTCCCTGCAAGATTGCTGTGTTCATGTGGAAGCTGCTCAACAACTACTTACCGTTTCCAGACGCCTTGCAGCGGCTTGGTTTTCAGCTTCCCGCTAAATGCCAGTTTTGCCTTGGAGGGGAATCTCAAGATCATGTAATGTCGGAATGCACTCTTGCTACTGAGGTATGGAATTTCTTCTCCAGGGCCCTGTCTGTGCCCATCATGGGCCCTACTGGCATCTTAGGTCGCTTGCAGCAATGGTGGCTTCTCCAGCCTCCAGGCACTGCCCGGGGGATGGTCTGTAGGGTGTTGCCATCGCTTATATGTTGGGGGCTGTGGAAGGCTCGGAACATGGCGATGTACGAGGGCGCTGCTGCGTCACCGGCACAGGTTTGCAGGGAGGTAAAATCTCTTTTGCTTAACATATCTCAGGTTTATCCTTTCGTCCAGGTGGCACGGGATGATGGGGAGCTGGCCCACTTGGGTTTCTTGCTTCGCATGGAACTGAAGAAGTCCGTGCTTCCACGCTGGGTTGCATGGTTGCGGCCGCCTATCGGGTGTGTTAAGTTAAATATTGATGGCTCTTCTTTAGGGAATCCAGGTCTCTCTGGAGCGGGAGCGGTTTTTCGTGATTCAGGTGGTAGCATCCTTTGTGCCTTCTCGTGGTTTTTGGGATCCCGGACAAACATGGAAGCGGAGGCCATGGCGTTACTGGAGGGTTTGTTACTTTCCGCTACTTTCCATTCTTTGCACGTTGAAATGGATTCTCAGGTATTGCTGAAGATGGTGAACGGCGATGGTAGAGTTCCTTGGAGGCTATGGCGTACTGTCTCGCGTATCAAAGCTTTGATGCTCAGACGCCAGATCACTTTCACTCATGTTTACAGAGAGGCGAACGCGGTTGCTGATGCCCTGGCGCGCCTGGCGAGCACCACGCATGTTTCCCAGTCTTTTCCCCCCTCCCCGTTGCCTGCCCGCATACGGGGGTTAGCCCACCTGGATAGGATACAGATGCCTTATGTACGTTTGTCCTAGCCTGACTGGCGGTTTGCCAGCGTTCTTGGTGTACGTTATTGACCTTTTGAATAACATTTGGAGTGGCGCCCGCCCCCATAACTGGGGTTAGCCGGAAAAAAAAAACATGAATTGTATAAGATTATTGGTAGATTAAGTGTACTTTTTACACAAAAAGCTATGGGTTTTGGGGCTGGAAAAGGGTTTCACCATTTTGTCAATTGTGATTGTACTCTTCATTTTTTTCAACCATTAGACATTTGCAGAAAAACATCAATAGAGATTTCATTTTAGGAATTTTGATATGATGGATACTTTTCCTATAGAAGAGGAAGTTAATGTTAATTTGATTTGTAAATTGAAAAGAAGAAATTGTATATAAAGGGGTCTACGCCTATAAGGTTTAAGGAGCTTTCTCGTACACTTTTTTTGCACAGAGAAAAAGTAGGCAGAGAAAGTGTTCTTCCACTCCTACTCACGATGTTCTCTGGGCCTATTTGTTTTCTTGGGCCTATTTATATTTCTATATGCTTTTGTGATAGGCTATTATTTATGTTTTTCACTATTATATTTTTCATGTGTTGCCCTTTTGTAATCATTATGGTAAGATTAGATATAGGTGCTCTTTATTTTTCGATTATTATTCCTTTATCTTTTCATGATGTGTGGGCTTTGATTGGAGTTGAATATGTATGTGTCATCTTTGGTTGTTCTCCTTGTATTTTCATAGCACTAAAAATACTCCTATATCGTAATGTAACTATTAATAGAGATAAAAGCAACTAATATTGTTCATTAGATGAAAATTATTTTTTTCTTTTTCCTTAACATCTTTATGCATATGAGAAATTAAATATAGATATATATATATAATATAAATAGTGAATTTTTTGATGAATTTTTAGATTTGGGGGAAAGAAAGAAGAGCTTAGAAAATGATTTTTGTTGCTTGGACATTAGTTTTTCTTGCTCTAGATTATTAATGTGCTAAATCGTTGCTATTATATATTAGAATAAATTCAAAATTTTGGGTTTGCGCCTACTATGTCTGTATCTCTTCTTGGTTTTATGATGAGTTATTGGTGATCTCCCTTGCTATTATGCATACGTTTCACTGATGTTCTCCAATGTTGTGTTTTGAGGCATCTACATATCAATATGTCTATTTTTACTTGTTATTTTGTTTTCTGATAAATAAATGTTTTGGATTATTTTACCCTTACCCCTCTTTATCTTTTCCTGACTAATGTTTTACCCTCTCCTCCATCTTATCTGTGCATTTTACTAGTTATTTTTTAAAAGTATACATATGTAAATATGGCTATACATATGTACATTCGTTGGTGCTTGGGCGAGGGGCTTGTGAATATTTTGAATGATAGGTGGTGTACTGATATTCCACTTGCTAGGCTTGTGTCAGGCATGGATAAACCTCATCTATTAGTAAGAGAGTTATAAAGATCTAATGGATGGGATGAGCAACGGCTTAGACGGTTGCTGCTAGAGTGCTTAGTGTCAAAGATATTACAGCTGCGTTCTTCCTGGCAAGTCGGGCCTAGCTGCTATGGGTAGCATTGTCTACAGGGGTTTTCTCAATTTCCTTAACTTGGGAGTAGATTTGTCTGAAAAAGAATTTGTCGACTATTGATTCGTTGGTATGGAGTCCTATGATCCCTTTAAAAATTTCCTTCTTTGGATGGAGATTGCTATGAAAATGGCTCCCATTGGATGATCTCCTCCAGCGAAGAGTGGTGTTAGCTTCTAGATGTTGTTGTTGTGGGATTGCTGCAAAAACGGGAAGCCATTTATTTGTATTACGACTCGTAGCATCAAATGTGTGACAGTACTTTGCTCATCTCTTTGGGATTGCGCTTTAGGGCAGAAGGGTTAATGCGAGATTTGCCAGTTGGTTTTTCTCTCATTGCTTTGTATCTCAGAATCATATTCAGGTTATTATTCCACTTTTGATTGTGTGATTTACTTGGCGGTCACGAAATAAAGCTCACTTTGAGGGCTCGACTATGTCGTTTGAGTAGAAAATTTTCCAGATCTGTAACGCAATTGAGCAACTGGGTACGGCAGGAATGCTGTAAAAGGAATATTTTAAAGGAGACACAGACTGTGTTTGGGCACCATATGCTAAGGTGAAGAAGAGGAGAGTTCAGCCTCAGATTGTTACTTGGGTGAAGCCTCCAGTGCACTCCATCAAACTGAATACAGATGCAAGTGTTTCTATAAGGGTTGCTTTTGGTGAGCGTTTAGTTCGTTCGGCGAAAGGCAACTCGGTCTTTGCATTTTACAAAGAGTTTGGAGAGTACGATGTTATCACGGCAGAAGCTCTGGCATTGTTGGCAGGTTTAAGGATTTGTCAAGGCAGGAATATCATAGGCTTTACGGCTGAGGTGGATTCTAGCGCTTTGGTTAGTATGGTTGCTTCCAAAGGTGCTTAACGTTGGCCCTTATGTAGCATTGTTCGGCATAGTTGGTTGCTAGTGGCGGAGTTGAGGGTGTCTTTGATCCATACATTTCGGGAGGCGAATGGGGTTATGGATGCTCTAGTGTCGTCAAAGCTGTGATCGGAGGTCATTTTTTCAACTGAGGAGGCCCTTCCGCCCAAGGTTTGGTCTGCGCTGCAGCTAGACAGATTTTCAATTCCTTTTGTCAGGCTTTATACTATCTAGAGATAGTTCCACGAATGTTAACATAGTATTGGGATACTGCTCCATTTCTTTGTAATCTTACCATCATTAGCTAATAAAATTAAGGGCCGGCATCTCTTTCCTGTGTACGTGGTTTTGTCACAAAAAAAATATGGCTATATTTTTACTAGCTCGTCTTTTCCATTAACTAACTGTTTACCCTTGCCTTTAAATTTTCTCTCCTTGTAAATTTCTTGCTTTCTGTTCTATATATTAATTGTTCGTCAAGGTTGTGTATTCTCCTTTTTTAGT